CCCGGAAGGAACATAGGCAGTCAAAAGTCTTCGTGATCTGCTTAACTCTGGATCAACATTCAAGCACACTTTTGCAAAATCAAACATTCGCTGGGGAGGGAAATTTATGCCAGCAATCATGCACACACAAACACATGTACGCACCTGATTTTCCCACACAGGAAAGATATATCCAGAGCATGGAAAAAAAGACAAAGATGATGAACTCTTAAGAACCATAAGTAAGAGAAAAGACTCAGAGGAGGAAAGTAGCTTTAAGGCATTAATCTGAGCTGAACTTCCCAAGGTCAACAAGACGACTGTCAGTTTGATAAAGGTACTTTCCAAACTTAGTCTTTTGATGATGGAGCAAGACACAGATCATCATGCTTTAAAACAAAACCATAGTCTGTAGGGCCTCTTTGTGCTTCAGCGCCATGTAAATAAGAGAGCTAAATCCATATTAAGGACACAAGAAGACCCCTAATACCTAGTTCAGTGTCCTTTTCCCCATGATGGACAGCAAAGCAGATGGTCCCAGGTCCAGCCCCTGGCCTGAAAAATATCTCAGGTAGCAGAAGTTTTAGACTTCTGATAATGAGATCATTATTCTTACTATTATTACTGCCGTGCTGCTGTGATTCGTATTGTGCCATCAAAATCATCGCTAATGATTCGGATTTGTGCACAAAACGGCTTTTCCTAAATGTATATTCCAGCGAGAATACGTTGGCCAAGATTGCCACCTGGTGGAATATAAGAGAAGTTCACCAGAACTAATGAATGGTGTTTGATCCAAGTTGCCAAAGTTTTAATCAAGGAGGGAAGAAGGAATTGAAAGCAAAGACAAAAACCAGAGGAGATGCATTCCCTTCTGAAACTGAGGGGGGTGAAACTAACCCTTTCCTTACCTTGTCCTGTCTACTTTGCAGGTAGAAGTAAGGGCAATCTGTGAAGTAGTGAAAAGATAAATAGACAGATGATAGATAGATAGATAGATAGATAGATAGATAGATGATAGATAGATAGATAGATAGATAGATAGATGATTGATAGATGATAGATAGATAGATAGATAGATAGATAGATAGATAGATAGATAGATAGATAGATAGATAGATTCTGGAATCATCTCAGCTCTCTCCCTCAATAAACATTCAGGAAAAAACCAAACCATTTCTCTCTGAACATTTTGTGCACTTTTTAAAAAAAAGAAATTCATTCAGACATGGGAAGCTACTGACTCATACCCTCCAACATTTCTCTCATGAAAACAGGGACGGATTATTATTATTATTATTATTATTATTATTTTATTTTATTTATACTTCACCTCTCTGACAGGGTTGCCTCAGCAACTCTGGGAGGCTTCCAATATATATAAAAACGTAATAAAAATAAACAGTTAAAAACCTCCCTATACAGGGCTGCCTTCAGATGCCTTCTAAAAGTTGTATAGTTATCTCTTATCTCTTTGGCTCAGAGGTCATATAACTCCATAGCCTCAAACATGTCTCCAATGAAAATAGAGACATCCTAATGAAAAGTGGGACATTCCAGGATGAAAACAGAAACCGGGATGGCTTCTGTAAATCCTGGACTGTCCCTGGACAATAGGGACACTTGGAAGATCTGCAGGCTGGGCAAATTCAGAGGCTTCCTAAGGCCTGCCTGGGACGGAGGTTGCATAATCCTGTTTCTGTCTACACCTGTTTTGGCCCTGGCACACAGGGGCTTAACAGGATAGGCCCCAGCCACATAACTTTGGAAGTGCCCAGTTGAAGCTTCTTGAGTTCCTGATGTGCGGCCCTTTGTGTCACTCTGTGTGGCCCTTAGAATTCTCCCCAGGCCGCAACTCACACTGCTCCTGCTTTAACAGCCCAAGTGTCTCCGCTTGGCTGGCATAAGTGAAAAAAATAAAATGTGGCCATTAAGGCCACCTCCCACATCTCACTTAGTAGGTTAGGCCCAAGCAGGAGTGCAAGGTTAGAACAGGGTGAGAGGGTAACTAAAGGAGAAAAGACCTGTTGCCTATAGTCCTTTAATAAAAACCATTTCTTGTTTAACTCCTCCGACCTGCTCATTATTAAATAGCAAAATGTTGTAAGTTGCCTTGAAGTGGACTCTGAGCTGAAAAAGGTGTCCCAGCCCCCAAAGTATAGTGTGGTCATGCGCCCTGATTTACAGAGCATCGTCTTCCGTTTGAATTGCTACCTAGTCCCGGTCTGTTTTAAAGAGAGAGAATCCTAAAACAGGAGAGCAAGGAACTTGCCCATCGACAGTTGGCAGCAGACAGAGCAGGTACACAGGTCAGCCTGTCACAGTCTTCTCCACTATGGTGAGGTGTCTTATATTTTCGATTTAAAACAATCTTTTCTAAATTTGCACCTATACATGTGCATTAGCAGATGCAGATCTGTGTCCTTGTTTGTCTTATGAGTGTGTGTTGGGTAAGTGGCCACACTGAGCAACTTCAACATGACACTCTCCTGCACTGAGCATGTTCTCAAGAGAGGCACTCTAGACTCAACAGTGGTTAGGCTCTGGGATTGTGACTGACATTTGCTTATCTTGGCGGATTAGTCCTGATCTGATTACAGTGTTTACTGTTAGCACTGCTAAAGCAAGAGGCCTCTCAACAAATCTTCCTCCACACTTCTGTGTGTTTGAAGAGTTGTTGGCGAGGCGCAATTTCTCTCAAAGAGAAAAAAGCACACACCTTTGCAATATCAAATTAACCCAGGTCCTCTCCAGACATCCTTTTCTATCACACGTGCATGATTGTTTGTGTTCCTTATGCTATTGGGGACTGATCCCACTGGCAATATCATTTGCACCCACAAACATTTTGGGTGGGCGTACTGCTTTGTTTCCAGGCTGCCGAAACCCTGTAACGCTTTGTGCCACAAATGTTTGTGTCTGCGTGGGTGTGTTGCACAACAATCTCTCCAGACAAGAAGTTATGTGGTAGCAGCACTGGAGACACCTTGCAAAGCAAACAGTATAAACAAGCTGCAGTATATATAGCAGGATACTTCATTCTCCATTCCCCCCAACAGTGTCTGTTTCTTTAACCTGCTGATACCAGAAATTCTGCGGCTAGTAGGTATGCTCAGTCTTCACTGGGCTTTCCTCCATTTTTTAAGAAAAGTATTTTCTGACTTCTGTAAACCTGAGGGTTCCCTCAAGTGTGCTAATCCATCTTTTCCATTTCTCGGGGGCTCCATTTTGACGGCATCGCTGTCGGCACTCGCCACCTGAGCTCGCTGCTAGGAGGAGTGATTTGAGAACGGAAGGGCTCCCTTGCCAAATCAAATCAACGGCACCGTTGAGTTCAGCTTTCAGGGGTTTTTGTTTTGTTTTGTTTTTGTTTTATTAAATTTTTTTTGGTTTACAAAAGTATGTGCAATGTCTCTCTCTCTCTCTCTTTTCGAGTAACATTTTTTACAGATCAGTTTCATTTATTGAGACATTAGGAAGAAAAGGGGGAAAGAGGTGGAGGGGGGAAAGGTGAGTGGGGTCAGGTGGCGATGTTTCTATTTTACTTAATATATGTGGGGTTTTGTGTCAGCGTCGCTTGTGCAGGTTCTCTGCTATTCACTTATGTTTCTTTGGTGGTGAGAGAGGTTGGGGTTGGCCTAGGGTGTGGTTGTTTGTTTGTGGTTGGCTGTGGTGATCTTTGTTTTCGTGTGTGAGTGGGGTGGGTGGGTGTTTTGGATCAGATTCGCCATATTGATTTGCATGCTGTTGGTGGATTTTTATCATTGTCTTGTTGGGCTGTGTATGTGATAAAGGGGAACCATACCGGGGTGAAGGCGTCTTCTTCTATTTGTCCCCGTGTCCATTTCAGTTTATTGGTTAATTTTTCTAGTACAGTGGTACCTCGGGTTAAGTACTTAATTCGTTCCTGAGGTCCGTTCTTAACCTGAAACTGTTCTTAACCTGAAGCACCACTTTAGCTGATGGGGCCTCCCGCTGCTGCCGCGCCGCCGGAGCACGATTTCTGTTCTTATCCTGAAGCAAAGTTCTTAACCTGAAGCACTATTTCTGGGTTAGCGGAGTCTGTAACCTGAAGCATATGTAACCCGAAGCATATGTAACCTGAGGTACCACTGTAAGGCTGTTTCCCATACTATTTGGTACCATTGGTCCATGCTTACTCCTGACAGGTCTCTCCAGTGTCTGGCTATAATGTTTCTGGCTGCTGAAAGTAGGTGGGTTATGAGCAGCTTTCAGTTTTCAAGACTGAACCGTTCTGGGAATTCACAAGCCCCAGAGTATTGCACACAGTTTTCACTGGGTGATTGTTTTATTACGTTTCATCACTGTTGCTGTGCTTTATGAAATGTGTTGTATAAATCAGGTGCTAAATAAAAGGTGGTTGAGGGGGTCTGTGCTTCTCTGTGTTCCTTCTTTGGGAGAAGCACGTTCTCCATGTGCAAAGCAGGGGGCGGGGGCTCCTTTGTGTGGGCTCTGGGGTTAACAAAAGCCCTGCCGCATCAACCCTGTGGCTTCCCACCGCGGCCAGCCAGATACCTATGAGAAGTCTTGAAGCAGAAACTGAGCACATTAGCACTATTTGGTGACTCCCATCAAGTGGTATTCAGAAGCATCTTGCCTCTTACAGTGAAGGCGGAACGTAGTCATTGGGGTTAGTAGTCAGTGATAGACTTCTGCTTCAGGACTTTGTCTAACACCCCTTTGAAGCCACCCCAGTTTGTAACCCATCACTGCCTCCTGCATTTATGTGAGGAAGTACAGTGGTACCTCGGGTTACAGACACTTCAGGTTACAGACTCCGCTAACCCAGAAATAGTACCTTGGGTTAAGAACTTTGCTTCAGGATGAGAACAGAAATCATGCTCCGGCGGCAGCAGGTGGCCCCATTAGCTAAAGTGGTGCTTCAGGTTATGAACAGTTTCAGGTTAAGAACGGACCTCCAGAACTAATTAAGTTCTTAACCCGAGGTACCACTGTACTTGCTTTCTAGTCCAACCCCCTGCAATGCAGAAATATACAGCTGTCCTGTGCAGGGATCGAACCTGCAACCATGGCATTATCACGCTCTAGCCGACTGAGCTGTCCAGGCAGACATTTCAGTTGTTCTTTTCTGAACCTTTTCCCATTCTACAATTTCCCCTTTGGGTGGACCCAGTGACCCAGAACAATGCACAGTATTCCAGATGCAGTTGCATCATAGATTGTATAACAGCGTTGGTTTTCAATGCCTTTCCTGATTATCCCTAGCATGGAATTTACCTTTTTCACAGCTGCCGTTCGCTGAGCCGGCATCTTCACCAAGCTATCTCCCAACAAGGTCTCATTCCTCACCAGTCGCTGCCCCGTGGACATATACAGTGGTACCTCGGGTTAAGTACTTAATTCGTTCTGGAGGTCCGTTCTTAACCTGAAACTGTTCTTAACCTGAGGTACCACTTTAGCTAATGGGGCCTTCTGCTGCCGCTGCACCGCCAGAGCACGATTTCTGTTCTCATCCTGAAGCAAAGTTCTTAACCTGAGGTAATATTTCTGGGTTAGCGGAGTCTGTAACCTGAAGCGTATGTAACCCGAGGTACCACTGTATGTGAAATTGAAAATGCCCTCCAGAGAGAGGTATGCTTTTTAACTTCATTGTTTTAAAAACCTATCCACCATTTTATAAATCTAGTCGTCATTTGTTTTATAATCTATTTGTCCCTTTAAAATTTCATTTCAGACTTCTATGTACCATTTCACAGGGCAGTTTATGCCTTTTAAATATAAATGCATCAAAACACACACACAAATAGGTGTGCATTTATTATCATACATATGGTTCCTTTGTTTTTGTACGCCACCTTTCCTCTATCATGGAGCTCCAGGCAGCTTACAAAAATGGCCCCCAGAAATTCAAGCCCTTACTGACCTGCTTCACTTCAGCAAGACTGCAGTATCACCTGCGTTTCAGACAGATGAAAGCACTAACCTCGGAATCTTTCCTTTTTTAAACATATTTGTTTATTGTGAATGTTGAAAAACATCGAATGATTGTTAACACAAAAGACGAGGCGATTGGAGGGAGAGGAAATGGCAAATTACCGTCAGAGAATTGGAAGACCCTTCATCAACAATTATGCAGAACAGCTTTTGCCAACCTGACGCCCTCCAGGTGTTCTGGAGGGCGCCAAGGGTGGCAAAAGCTGTCGTACAAACAAAGCCGTTCGAAAGAGGGAAAAGGCTACTCAGATGGAAATAAACACCACCAAAGAGTGTCGTCATGATTAGGAATACAAGTGAGCAGGTTGTTTTTACGCCAAAGGGGAGGGAAAAAATCTTGCTTAACACAAAAGATAATATTATTATTTTTAAATCAGTTATCATATACAATAAAATGCTTGTGAAACCAATAGTCTCTTTCGCAAAGATATTATTCTATGCCTTCGGTGCTGGGAGACAGTTGCTTCAACTGGGAGAGGCCTCTTTTCTATCCATCGCTTGCAGCAGATAATCCATCATCTAATGAAGACACAGAGAGAGGAAGAAGAATAACAGTGAGAGGGCAATCTTGACAAAAGCCGCTGCAGTGATGGGTGCAGAGGTCATACGTCCCTCAACCAGCTCCAGCCCAAGATGTTTCACTGCTGGAGGTGAAGGGCTTCCACAAACAGGAGCCGACTGGGTGGCTCCTCACATTTCAGTGGGGCAGACTAGGACTGGTAGGGGTGGGGGAGGCAGAAAACCAAGAACAGGTATCGCCAGAGCCACCCACTGACTACTTGTAAGCAGGGCCGGATTTAGGTCTGATGAGGCCCCAAGCTACTGAAGGTAACGGGGCCCTTTATATGTCCAGCTGTCCTTTGTCAACAACAAATTGTCACTGTTTTTTGTGTTGAATATATGCTATATGGTAATTTATGGACCTAATAGGTATCTATAGCCACTTGCACATAACAAAATAATAACAATAATAATAATAATAATAATAATAATAATAATAATAATAATAATTTATTTATACCCCACCCATCTGGCTGGGCTTCCCCAGCCACTCTGGGTGGCTTCCAACCAAATATTAAAATACAGTAATGGCTCAAACATTAAAAGCTTCCCTAAACAAAATAGGTATTTTATCAAAGTAATTGTTGAACTGAAATACAATGAAGAAGAAGTATATTAATAGTGAAATATAATTAAGAAGAAGTATGTTAATAGTGAAATAATTATTAAGCTCTAATTTAAAATGATTTTTTATTCCTAACAAACTTAATAATGCAAACACATTGGCATTTGGCAATAACAAAATTAACATGCAGGTGTTTTTTCCTTTAAATTTTTTGGGGGCCCCCCAAGAGAGTGGGGCCCTAAGCTATAGCTTGTTTAGCTTATACGTAAATCCGGCACTGCTTGTAAGGAAGGCTGGTGTTGGACAGGAGTTGGTTGAAGGCAGACAGGCAGTGTATTGGCCCATTTGCCCTATATAGACCAGCCTCCACTAACATCAGCGCTGGTGTGACAGGAGAGCATTCTCCACCAGACCTGAGGCATCAGGACAGAGTAGGAGGACCAAGAGTGACCATGTGGCAGCAGATATCACTGTGGTTGGCATCCACCTGTCTCAAGAGACAACTTAAGGCCCCCTGTGGGTGAAGTCGAACCACTGCAATAGCAGCACCGAAGTGACCTCCTCAGAGGTCAAGCTTGGTCAGTGTGTATGGAGTCTTTTAATGAACTGAACAGAGTGGAAGATTATGAGTCATGGGGCTGGGACGAGTCAACGAATATATCAGTGCTTATCTTATTTTTCGGGTGCTATTTTGTCAAGGTTGTCAACATTGTTTTATAGATTACGACCACTGTAGTACTTTGAGTAATCCTATAATATGATTTTTGTTGTGCTGTTTAGCTTATCTTCTCCAAGTTGTGACTGTAATTGTTTTACTGGTGAATTGTAATTGTTTTGACTGATGGTTTGTTAACTACTCTGTCTAGTTTATCTTGCATTTGTGGTGTTCTATTATGTTATTGTTACAGTGGTACCTCGGTTTTCAAATGTCTCCGTTGACGAACATTTCGGTTTTTGAATGCTGTAAACCTGGAAGTAAATGCTTTGGTTTTCGAAAACGCCTCAGAAGTCGAACATGCCATGTGGCTTCCGTATTGAGTTTTCAGATTTCAAATGTTTCGGAACTCAAACGGTCTTCCGGAACGGATTACGTTCGAAACCCAAGGTCCAACTGTATTAATTGTTTGTAAGCCGCTTTGCGATTCGGCTGAATGAAAGCAGCATATCATTATAATTAATCATTCAACAGATGAGGATAGCTAAGCGACTCGGGAGGAACAGCCAGGGGCTGCTACTACTGCCCCACATCTCTCATCTGCTGCCCGACACAGCTGCTTCACTATAAGAACAACAATAACACACACATCCCACTTCCACAACATATTTAAAAGGGCATTGGATGTCAACCAGCCAAAGGTTTGGTTAAAGAGGAACGTTTTCGCCTGGCACCCTTAAGGTGTATAATGAAGGCGCTGGCCGAACCATGTCAGGATAAAGTCATTACTTGGGGCTGTAGTTCATTTACTGCCGCCCCAAGCACAAATCAATCAGTTTTTCTAGAAAATTAAATCAAAATAATCGGAAAGGGAGAGCTGTTTCCCCCTTGGTGTAGCAAGCTTCCCAGTACCTCGTGGCAGTAAGTTATTTATGTTTCAACAAGCTAAAAAATGGCTTTGTGTAAATTGGGAGGTTAGGAATATGCTCCACAGGCAAGAGTTCCAAGATCCAGTCTTTTGCTATTTCTAGGGCACTTCCAGATTGTCACTATTTCAGGGTGGGATTCAATTACATACCATCAAATTCAGCTTGTGCAATTACAGTTGACTGGGAGGTCCTCACAGCCCCATTTAGGATTCTAGGTAATGCTTGAAAAGCTGTTGATTTTTTTATTGGGGAGCAGTTGTAGCTCAGTGGTGGAGCATCTGTTTCGCATGCACAAGCTCCCAGGTTCAGTCCACAGCACCTCTGGGTTGGTAAATCTCTGCTTGAAATCTTAGAGACCCAATGCTGGTCAGCAGAGACAGTGCTGAGCTGGATGAACCAACGGTCTGATTTAGCATAAGTTACCTCCACAGAGTTAACTGTTAAACCACAGAGCCTAGGACTTGCTGATCAGAAGGTCGGCGGTTCGAATCCCCGCGACGGGGTGAGCTCCCGTTGCTCGGTCCCTGCTCCTGCCAACCTAGCAGTTCGAAAGCACGTCAAAGTGCAAGTAGATAAATAGGTACCGCTCCGACGGGAAGGTAAACGGCGTTTCCGTGCGCTGCTCTGGTTCGCCAGAAGCGGCTTAGTCATGCTGGCCACATGACCCGGAAGCTATACGCTGGCTCCCTCAGCCAATAAAGTGAGATGAGTGCCGCAACTCCAGAGTCGGCCATGACTGGACCTAATGGTCAGGGGTCCCTTTACTTTTTTTACCTCCCCACATGTTCCTATTTTGAGGCTCAACTTGCTGACATTCTCAGATGTATTTTCACCTCTGCTGAACCATGTTTGGCATGTTTGTTTGAAGGAAGCAAACCAAAATGAAACGAACTGTGACAGGAAGCTTCCCATGTTCAAATTGTTAATGAAAGCGTCAGAAGTGCTGCAGCAAGGATCATTCAATTTGCAACTCAAAGGTTAACTCTGTTATCAGTAAGTCAGCTAACCAATAGGGGGATGGTGGAAGTGTTGCTTAGCAACCAGACAGAGCGGCTTGACATTTACTGAGGCAGCAAACGCTCCAATTGGCTGTGCAGTTCTCAGGGAAATTTCCCTCTGTGTGTTTGGCTGAATGTTTCCCTGCCGCTTACAAGGCCTGAACTAAGAGAGACAAAATCCCTCTGCTCATTCCTCCTCAAATTATACACTTTGTTCAGTTTGCTCAGTAAAGTGTTAACAGGATTTCTTTCCTCTCTGGACTCCATTATTGAAGTGACTTTTGTCAACACAGAGATGAAGGCAAGCGTTTACACTTACGTCTTTGAGGCTGCTGTTGTCCTCTGTCTCCCAAGCACTCTTGACAGGAAACGGAGATTCTTCCCTAAGAACCTGAGCACTTTGGTTTTCGTTCCCCTCAAGAAGCCGGAGGAACTGCTTGAATGTTTCCTCCCAGTGCAGATAGTCTCCCAGTTGCTTGGCATTATCGGGTAGCAAAGAGAAAGGCGACTCATTTCGTTCTTCATATAAGTTAGGGAAATCTCCACTGCTCTTTTTGCCCATGAAGTGCCCTGCAAGAGGAACCAAAATGCCATGAAAGTGGTGCCAAAAGTCATAGAACTGTAGATTGTCCAACCCCTGCAATGCAGAAATCTTTTTGCCCAATGTGGAGCTCGAACCCACTGTTATGTACTGAAGTTCTCACCCTGAGCCAGCAGGGGGATACTGTAGATAGTTTTCAGTCAGGTCCACATATGCAAATAAGGGATTGAAAGTGACGTTCAGTGATTGGATAGTTACAGAAAATGGTTACTGTTGCGTTCTAGTGGAGCTCTATATAAGCAGGCTGGCTGAACCCTTCAGTTCAGTTCTGTTCTGGCCTGTGAATAAACAAGGGCTGTTTGAAGAATCGCTGTGTCGTCTGATATGTTCACCCACAACTTAACACCCACGACCCTGCGATTAAGAGTCTCATGCTCTACGGACTGAGCTATCTGCTTTATGCTGTGATTCTATCGTCCGGCAAGGAATGCCTGGATCAGGCAGAAGTGCATCAAAGTTGGTACCCTCATAAGAGTACCAAGCTAGCAGAGTGGTGATGACAGCCATTGTGAAATTTTATAGGGTGCTTCTGGGAACAGGAATCCAGTCTAGGAAGACATTATTTGTAGCTTAATTTGTTTCTCGGTTCAGTGTTTGTTGCCATCCACACAAAGCATAGCATACGCACAAGATCACATCACGTATTTAATCCAGGAGAGTTACTGGTTTTTGTAATCAAGATCTCTAAGTAGATTAGAACTGCCACTTTGCCCATAACCAAACACAGAAAATAGGGGGAATGTCCACAGTTAATACACATGGTGGTTAAAGGATGCTAGAGATAACTAATCCATGTTAAAGTCTGTGCCCAAAAGAGCTAAATGAAGCATGCAGCTATACTGAAATCCCAGGGCAGGAGTTGGCAAGGTGGCACCCGTGGGCACAATGACACCCTTGGGATCTTCCTCATGGTGCCCACAAAGCCTCTTAACCTCACTCCCATGTCACTGCCCCCTTGGTCATGAAATGGCAAGAGAGGTTACCTTCTGCTCTGTGAAAAGTACGTAGAGCCGAAGGAGGAAGTTGGAAGCGTGACACTCTATCCCACTTCCTCTTTCACCTCTATGTGCTTTCCGAGGCTCAGGTGAATTATTTTATCCAGATCCCTTGGAAAGGAAAAGTGGGTGGGTGGATGGGTGGACACGCATACTTTCTCTCTCTCTCAGGAAGGGGGAGAGAAGACACCACAGAAGATTGTGCCCATGTCACTTGCTCAAAAGTTCAAATGTGTCCACAGGTTTCTGGTTAGGTGACTCCTGTCTTGGAGATTGAGGGTTTCATGCTGGGGCTAAACAGGAATCTTTTGCCTTGACTGAAATATGGTAGCCTCTTCTCTTTCACCCTCTCAGCAACATTCTAGCACACTTATGCATCAAAGATGTTCCAATAAAAAGGAACTCAACTGCTGACAAATTAACGCTAGGAACCTAGATGCCTTGCAAGCAAACTCACTGGGGACTTTTTCACTGGGCTGATGGGGGTGGGGAGGAGAAACAGAAAAGTGTGTGTGTGTGTGTGTGTGTGTGTGTGATACATCCTTCCAAATAGAAACCCCCATTAAAGGTATAATTCACACTCTGTATCTTTCGGCCGTGTGAGTGCTCCTGACTTTTGGATAGACACACATAGATGCACAAAAGAGTGTGCAGACCAGGTGAGCGTGGATTTTCAAGGTGGTATGATAGAAGCATCAGTGACCACAGTCACTCGTTTCTTTTATCCTGCTGATCAAACAGGCTTTGCTTGCAGGCTTTTGAAGCCCTACAGAAACATGCAAAAATTATGGGCTAAAATAGACATGAAAGACCTTTTCCTGACTTTAACCCTATTCCTGCCAGCCACCTCGCCACCTTTGGGCTCATCTACACTTTCGGTTGCCGCATATTTTGATCATATTGTGCACTGATTAATTTTTCCCAGGTGCAAGGGCTATCCTCATTGTTCCTCGGCTGTGCCGTGTCAAAATCCAATCTTACCTGCTGATTCGTATCTTATCCGATGCATAGAAAACCAAGAGGCAGATTTTGCTTCAGTTTAGTGGGTAAGGTCAAATTTTCAGAAGGCACAGCTGCAGAACAAGAAAAGTTCTCGGACCCTGAGCAACTAATCAGTACACAATACGATCAAACACAGGGCGAGCGAAAGTGTGGATGAGCCCAATGATGACCTCCCCCAAGCTGCTTTCCCCCACCACAATGTCCCTGAAAAAGACACACGAGAAAAGCAGCGTGGGGGAGGGCAATTTTGATGGCTGGTGGGGAAAGGGTGAAGCACTTCCATTTCTCCAGCAACTCGTCTGCTCAAAAGCAAAGCCTCTCTTGGAGCTTGTTCTAGTTAAATCAATGTTACTTGCAACTACCTATGTAAAGTTCTGTTGGGATGAGCCGTGTTCCCATCATATCATTTCTACTTTCTAGAATAAACTGTCACCTGTCTCCGGGCAGTCAGTATCATCTCCTGCAACTGCAATAGGTGCTGGTGGCGTTGGGAGGTTAATACCACCATGTTAAGGGGGTTGCAGCCAACTATACTTATAGGTAGTCTCTCTTTGCCGGATCCTATGCTTGAAGTTGCATGACAGGGGTGTCATGACAGACACCACACCAAATTATACCAGGTGGCAAGCAGGGCCACCACAGCTGCAGAGATACCTGCAGGCAGTCTTCATGGACTGTTCAGCACTCTTAGATATTTTGTCATGCAATCATGGGCGTGAGAGGAATTACTCTCAAACAGAGAAAAGCTACAGATTCACAGATGTGAACCAATTCTGTGATTTCCTGGTTCTCTCTCTCTCTCTCTCTCTCTCTCTCACACACACACACACACACACACAACCCTCTTCTGTAAATCCATGCACTCAGTTATGGAAGGCTGGAACTGTCTGCATGGAAGAAATATGTAATAGCATGAATGTACCATCTCAAGGAGAAAAGCAAAGAGGTGGCAGATACTTGTGCACTGTACAGATGTGTGGAGAAAGAAGAAGAAGAAGAGGAGGAGGAGGAGTTTGGATTTGATATCCCTCTTTATCACTACCCGAAGGAGTCTCAAAGCGGCTAACATTCTCCCTTCCCTTCCTCCCCCACAACAAACACCCTGTGAGGTGAGTGAGGCTGAGAGACTTCAGAGAAGTGTGACCAGCCCAAGGTCACCCAGCAGCTGTATGTGGAGGAGTGGGGAAGCGAACCCGGTTCACCAGATTACAAGTCCACCGCTCTTAACCACTACACCACACTTGCTCTCACTGGATGCTACAGATAAAGGGGAAGGTGGCTTAGAGAGATCAAGGCAGTATTCTGCAAGCTATTTCTAATGGGGAAGGGCTATGGCAGAGCAGAACAGTCCAGGTTCAACCCACAACATTTCCAGCTAGAGCTCAGAGGACCCATCTCTGAAAACATGAAAAGCCGCTGCCAATCAGTGTAGGCAGCACTGGGTTAAGTGGACCAGGGCTCCGATTGGGCATAAGGCAGCGTCCTATCTTCGTAATGGCAGGAGAGACAAGACGTCAATTTTATAAGATGTAGAGACCAACCTGTCAGGGATCCTATTGTTCATCTAGTACAACCTTTGCTCCTTACAATAGGATACCCTGAAACTAAAGTAGCTCTAGCAGATGCCAGTGCAATGACAGCCTAAGAAAAACCCTGATAGTTTAGACCAGGGAATCTATCTAGTCCCGGATCCTGTTTCCAACAGCGGCTGGCTGGCCAGATACATGAATGGAGGGCAACAGTGCTCCCTGATTGGTTTGTCCTCAGCACCTGGTATTCAGAGCTATACTTTCTCTGTCAGTGGAGATTTCATTTAGTTCTCCTATACCTTAATAGAAAACTCAGTTCTCTTGAGTTTAGAACCCCATGTAGCTCAAATGGCAACACCAGTCACGGTTCATCAGTACATTTTAGCAAGCTTGGGGACACCCCAAATACCTCCCTCCCACTCAAAAAAAAACTTGGGGGGGGGCCTAATAGCAGCCACTGAGGACCAAAGATGCTCATTTGGCACAGAATGCAGTGGAGGAACAGGAAATGAAGGAGCAGGGAGGAATGGAGTATCCCCGCAAAAGGCATGACAAGCTGATTGGCTGGGACATTGAACAGGTGTACTCCACACTGAAATGTTTTGCTGACCCGCTTGTCAGGATTGAAAAGACCCAAGGGATGGAATTCTTCTCCATCGAACCCAGTAGCGGTTATGACTACAGGGTAGCAAAGTCCCCCCCCCCCCAAAAAAAATATATTTAATGACCCGCTGTGTGAAGTCGCAATTTCTTTTCCAAAACATGAAAATAAAAATCAGCAGAAACGCATCTGCCTGCACACGGAATAGATTGACACGGACAGGATGGAGGGGATAACGTGATGCGGCGCGGGAGCGGGGCAAGCCAGAGGGGATGCTCACTGGAAACGGGAGGCATTGCGTAGCCAGGATAGGTACCGAGCTTGGCTGGGAGGAAAATGATAAGGGACGGATGGATGCTCTCCAAGCCAGCTTTTCAAAGTTGGGGGAAAGTACGAGATCCCTCCCTCCGTCCCTCTAAAACCCACTTTCCTTCCCCCCGCTCAACCCTCACTCCCTGAATGCTACTCGCTCCCCCTGCAGAAACGGCATTTTGTAAGCTCCTCGCGGCAAAGACCTCGCTCTCTTTTCACTTTCCCTCGGGGCTGATGCGCCTCCGTCAAGCGCCAACCGCGGCGTCGGGGTGGGGAGAGAAGGTGCGCGCACCACACACACACACACACACCCCGTGGGCGCCCAGCAATTCGTGCGTACTCACCCACTGCCCAGTGGCTGCCCCGGGGGTAGACCTTGGCCATCGGGGACGCCCCCTCGCTGCCTTGCAAGGGCGCGGCGCGGACGCCACGTCCCTCCAGCAGCAGCGCGAAGGCGAAGAGACCCAGGAGCGAGAAGAGCCCGCGGGGCTTCGGCAGCAGCTGGAACTCGGGGCGCGCCATGGTGCGTTCCGGGCTTGGCCTCGACGGGGCGGCTCTGCGCTCTGCTTGATCAAGGGCAGCGGCGAGTCGCGGCGGAGACTGAGCGCGGCGCTGCTTCTGCCTCCTCGGCCGGGACCTGCCTTTATATGCAGGCTGGGCGAGGTGGCAGGAAAGGTCAAGCCCTTAACGCCTCCCCTCGAGGGCGCTGCTGGAGCAGCGCCTCTCCGCCCGCCTGACTGGCTGGCTGGCTGGCTCGACGGCGAAAGCGCAGCCGAGCGCTCCTCCTTCCTCTGACGCCCACCCGTCCAGCCATTACCGCTTCAGTGCTACCCTCTGGGGGAAGATTCCCCCACCCCACTCTCCCCCGCCCCGTCTGTGGCTTCAGCAGCTGCCCGGCAGGCTGACACCACCAGTCTTACAGGTAAAGCTTCCCCCCACCGTTCAGCTTCAAGGATGGATAAAACGGCACCAGGAGAACTTCTGCCTGTTGGAAAATAGCGCCCGTCAGAAATATGAGAGCCCCATGGCAGGCGAGGGGCGGGATAGCAGTTCTGAAGAATGCCAGAAGGGGTGGCGTCAGCTCCCAAAGCTCAGCCTTGTGAAGTCCTCCTAAAGAAGAGGGTGCCTCTGAGACAGTGCAGAGTGTCGTGCCCCACTCACACAAGCAAGCGCTTACCTCTAGAAAGCCGGGGGGGGGCTGTCCTGTCAGAGAGAGCCTGAGGAGGGAGGAGACCCCTGGTATAGAGTGGTATAGAAATAATAATGATGATGATGATGATAATTCCAGCTGAGGTATATCAAGGCTTTGCCCCAGACTAGATTTCATTCCTGAGATGCTTAAACTCCTAATAAATTGGAAGTGTTCCTCTGAACATGTGCCAGGTGCATTTCTCTGACTTCTGAGGGGAAATCGCCCACTGGAGGTAAGGGTGTGTTGAAAGCTAAGGGCTTCTGTCCACTCTCATTTTAGCAAGAAGTGCTGGGAGGAGACCAGTGGCGTAGCGTGGGGTGTGGGGGCCCGTGGCCCTGGGCACATTGTTTTGAGGGGTTGCAACCCGGTGCCCCACGAAAGGCTCCCTCATCGAGGTTGGAGCTGCAGAAAGGGACTCCGGGGCTCAGCTGGGCCTTCGGGGCCTGGCTCCGGGGTGCAAGATAGCTGCGGAGGCAGCTTCCTCCCACGACAGCCCAATTAATATTTAACGGGAGGGAACTGAAAGGGGCAGGTGCCATGACACTAGAAGCCTGATTTCTGTATTGCGTGAGATGGGCATCCTGATAAGGTGGCATCGCCGGGAAGCCCTCACCTGCAGAGTGCAGTGGTGGATTGGGTATTTAAGGGGGGGGAGAAGATATTTCAGGCATCCTGATCCCAAGCTGTATAGGGCTTTATGCAGTAAAACCAGCACTTCGAACTTAGCCCGGTAGCTAGCTGACAGCAATTTAAAATATATATATTACGGAGGCACCCCCACCTCCCAAAAAAACAGTCCAATGAGGGCTGAGTATTCTCAGTTGTCCTGGAATGTTTCATGTCAGTTAGAAAAGGGAAACCGGAAATTGTGGCAGGGGTGAGAGTTTGGGATGTCGTGTTTGGAGGGAACAGTTCACTGAACAGGAGTTTTCCTATTTGGAGGGAATTTACACTGCAACAGTTTGTTGCAGATCACAGTTACCTTTCTTGCTGGGAAAGCATGTAGGTTTTCCCATTTACCAAGCCCACCGCCAGCTGCTCAATATTGTCCCCTCTGCTGAATGGTAGGGAAGATGCCCGTAGCTCAACACAGCACATTCCTTGCATGCTACATAAAGTCCCAGATGCAGCCCAAAGTGGAGATTTCGGGGCCAGAATGAGGAAATGCTGTCTGAGAAATTGGGGAGAAGAATTTGGATTTGATATCCCGCTTTATCACTGCCCTAAGGAGTCTCAAAGCGGCTAACAATCTCCTTTCCCTTCCTCCCCCACAACAAACACTCTGTGAGGTGAGTGGGGCTGAGAGACTTCAGAGAAGTGTGACCAGCCCAAGGTCACCCAAGTGCTGAGCTTTACAGACCAGAGGTTCAATTCCATATAAGTCCATTTTATACGGCCATGCAGTGGTAGAGCCAGACTACAGGGCACAAGTCCAGGATGACCAGGGTGCAATTTTGCTTCATCTACCCTCAAGTTCCTGCCCATTCCAACAGTTCCTCTCTTGGTTAATTTCATGCTTAATTTTTGCGCTTCATTTCTCCAAGATTGTGTCTTCTCAGTGGTGATGTTTTTATAATTTATTACAGGCCTGGCACCAGCTCTGAGGGGAAGCCAGATTTCACGGCAGCCTCTTCTCCTTCTTCCTTTTGCACATCAAACGCACCCTGTTGCAAGCTCCTGATATTTTCTGATTAATGCGCAAGCCCTCCCTCTCACTGCTCTGCCCTGTGCCATTCATTCATATCTCCCCTATTCACAAAACAAACAAACAAACAAAAGCTCTCAATGGGAATGAAACATGCTTTGCCTCGTCTAAAGCAAACTCCATCTCCCCCTCCCCATTTCAGGACCCTCCTCGTCCATAAATGAAGTGGGGATCTTTGTTTCCCCCTCTGGTTGGTGAGACTTGATAAGGCCTCCGACTTCTGTTCCCTTATCAAAGTAGGGGGAAGGGGCTCTTTATTTGGAGAATTACTGGTGCTGATAACTCCAGGGATATTCACACGTGAACACTCTCGCCTCTGATTGATGAAGCCTCGTGCACTCTGTTATTGTATCCTGCGTGCATTTATTACGCCTGGAGCCTTTGAGAGAAACCGGGGGACACCTCTGCGGACACCCACCACATGCCCCTGTCTGTTGATGTTATCCAGTTTTCCAAACCCATCTTTCATTTTGTGCTCCCCTCCGCCTCTCACCAAGACATTTCTTCTGCATAGAAACACAGGCAACTTTGCTCCAGGGGATCCTGGCAGTATCTTCGCCAGCACGTTGCTTCCCTTATTAAATCTGCACCAGATTCTTCTCTGCGTCACGGATGCAGTTCTTTGTAGTTCTGCAAAGTAGAGACACTGCTCTGTCGGTGCCCTTGGCCCGTGGAATGCCCTCCCATCAGATGTCAAGGGGATAAATAACTATGCAACTTTTAGAAGACATCGGAAGGCACAGTACAGGGAAGTTTTTAATGTTTGATGTTTTGTTATGCTTTTACAAGAACACAAATACAAGAACACAAATACATTTACAAATACAAGAACACCATTGATGGGGCAATTCAAGTGCGCTTTCCCCAACCTACGATCACTCTATTAATTTTATTTTTTTCAGAAAGCAAGTGGTGTTGGGGAAATGAATAGGCTTTCCTTAACCTGAATCAGACCCTATTTTATATGTTTGATATCTTCAGGTATCTTAAGGGCTGTCACCTGGAAGAGGTAGGTAGCCGTGTTGGTCTGCCGTAGTCGACCAACTTAGTTGGTCTCTAAGGTGCTACTGGAAGGAATTTTTTAATTTTGTTTTGACCTGGAAGAGAGAACATGCTTGTTTTCTCCTGCTCTGGAGAACCGATGGCTTCAAGATACAAAAAGGAGATTCCGACTAAACATTCAGAAAAAACTTTCTGACAGTAAGAGATGTTCGGCAGTGGAACGAACTCCTTAAGGACATTGTGGACTCTCCTTCCTTCCTTCCATCTGTCATGGATGCTTTAGCTGAGATTCCTGCATTGCAGAGAGTTGGACCAGATGACCCAACTCTAAGATTCTGTGATAATATGCTTTTATATCACTGCTTTATTGGTTTTAGGCTGTATTTTTAAAATGATGATGTGTGGGTGTGGGTGTACACCACTTAGGAAATTATAATAAAATTAAGCAGTTTACAAATAGTCTTCAATAAATAAATAAATAAATAGATGGATGAATGAATGAATGAATGATCAGATGACTGAAATCGACAAATATTGCAATTGTTGGGCAGGGTGGGGAGGACCCTCCTTCATTTAGGTCTATAACCAACATTTTGCTTGGGTACTTCTAAGCTGATGGGTCAAGAAGAAGAAACGTTGCATGGAATCCCTTAACCACATCAAAGATTGCGGCAGCTCCTGGAAGGCTTCTAAAATGGCATCATTAACAGAGATCTTGTGAACAGGAGCACATAGGCCAGGGGTCAGCAAACTTTTTCAGCAGGGGGCCAGTCCACCGTCCCTCAGACTATATTTTGGGGGGAGAAATGAACGAATTCCTATGCCCCACAAATAACCCAGAGCTGCATTTTAAATAAAAGCACACATTCAAAAACACCAGACAGGCCCCACAAATAACCCAGAGATGCATTTTAAATAAAAGGACACATGCTACTCATGTAAAAACATGCTGATTCCTGGACTGTCCATGGGCCAGATTGAGAAGGCGATTGGGTCGGATCCGGCCCCCGGGCCTTAGTTTACCTACCCATGACATAGGCAGTACAGTGGTACCTCTGGTTAAGAAATTAATTCGTTCTGGAGGTCCGTTCCTAACCTGAAACTGTTCTTAACCAGAGGTGCCACTTTAGCTAATGGGGCCTCCTGCTGCTGCCACACAATTTCTGTTCTCATCCTGAAGCAAAGTTCTTAACCCGAGGTACTATTTCTGAGTTAGCGGAGTCTGTAACCTGAAGTGTCTGTAACCCACGGTACTTTACTCAAAGGCTTTCTTCCCAATGGGGCTGTGTAAATGGATCCTGATGAAACAAATGCCTGTCATGCTGATTAGCAGTTGAGTAGGCAAGACTAACTCCTGTTCCCCAGAGCCTCATTCTGAACAGCTGTCTGGCACTATCGCCAATTTTGTAGCACTCCCAAAAACAAGACTGGGAGAGGAACCGGGCTCGCAACATCTGCTTGCGTACAGAGGTTTATTTCTTCTGTGCACACAAGCCTCTGAGCTGAAACCAGGGCAGAAGCATCCTGAACATACAGCGTCTCCCTGTATTTTGTAGTTTGGAAAAAAGAGTATAACCTGAATATAAATGCATGCATACAGCTTCTTTTCTATGCTTTAATTATACACTGCAAAATCAGTTTGTATAGATACACCACCATAATTCTGTATTTTCCATCATAGTAATTTATTCTGCGTTACTAAGCATCTAGAAGGGAATCCAGGTGCAACAAACACACTAATTCACTTTAAATGACTCGGCTGTTTTCCTTTGAGACAACTTCTCCTTCTTGCGAATAAATTGCAGTCACATCTGTGTACAACTAACTGATGGTTAGTTCT